ATTTTCATACTTTATTTTTGTCCAGGCCATTTCTTCTAATGAATAAAAGCCATGGACTTGAAACTTCATAGGATGATAGGTCTCATTAAGAAGAAGTGCAGTGCACAAGAACCAGTACTCTGCATTTCTTATTTTTTGAGTTATTGCCCTTTGTTTATTTTCATACTTTAATTTTGTCCGGGCCATTTCTCCTTAAGTATAAAAGCTATGGACTTGAAACTTCATAGGATGATAGATCTCATTAGGAAGAAGTGCAGTGCACAAGAACTGGTACTCTGCATTTCTTATTTTTTGAGTTATTGCCCTTTGTTGATTTTCTTTCTTTATTTTTGTCCTGGTCATTTCTCTTCAAGTATGAAAGCTATGGACTTGAACCATCATAGAATGATAGATCTTATTGATAAGAAGTGCAGTGTTCAGACACTGCTGCTCTGCACTTATTATTTTTTAGTTATTGCCCTTTGTTATTTTTCATATTTCATTTTTGTCCTGGCCATTTCTCCTAAACTACATTGTTCACAAGGCGACACATCCGACTTGCGGAGTTCTAGTTTCTAGCTTAATTTTACAATTATCATCTCTTAAAATACATGTTCAACAACTTTTAAAATAATGGTTGTCTGGAGTAAATCTTTTCAATGATATCACACTCAAACTAAATACAGTTGTAGAGACTAGTGAGCAGAAGTTTTGTGTCAAATAACCAAAATTCTACATTACTTAGTTTTTGAATTATCTCCGTATATATTTCATGATACTGTTCAGAGAGAGGATTAAAATATTGAAGGAATTTGATTGAAACTTTATAAACGTTATACAGTGAAAGAGATTAGCATGAGAATTGCAGTAAACAAAGGCCATTATAAGTTCTAATGACATGGTCACATTCATATAATGTTATGCAAAAAATATTGACCATTTGAGTGTTTACTTGATACTGATACAGAAAATTTGATATATATCACAATTGATTATTTTTTCATAGCTTTGTCTCCCTTTATAATGTCATGTGTTAAAATAGTCAAGCTTGCAGTTTCCTCTGGTAGCTCTAATTTCACTTGTTGCTCTTGTCAAAAAAGGCCAATAACGGTTTATGATGGACCTACACATACATGTAACCTAAATATTATATTTAACATGTGTGTCATAGAATAATTGTATCATCTACTGTTCATTTACTGAATTGTGCACTTTATATTTATCAACCGGCAACACCCTTCACTCATTGAATTATCTGCCCCGAAATAGAAAAAATAGTTATTTGATCCTTCATACGTCCCAACTGCAGTGCCTTCAGCACTTTGATTCATAATCCTTGGGATGTACAATTAAAGGCACATCGTGCCTAAAAATTGCTCTCAGTTTCATTTTTCAAAACCTTTTTATAAATTTTAAGTTAGGTATTCTGTTACAGTTTCTTAAAAGTGGTAAGATCTCATTTTCTATATAGAATAATTTTGCAATTAATATAATTATTGTAAATAAGTATTTCGTGTAGAAGTCAAAAATACTGCCTTGATTACATATTGCTACCTTTACGACATATTATTGAACATTCATCATACCTTCCTCATATGTTAAACATCTTACATTCTCTAAATCTTTGATTAAAACAATAGTGAATACATGTTTTACATTTCTAAACATTTTAAATATTATGGATTTCTGCGACAGATTGTGCCTTTAACCTTTTTAACATTTTGATACTAGCTTTTATCATCGAATAGATTTCTTTGATACGCATATTTTTCTTATTATGTTTTATTATATTGAAATTGATTTTTATTTTTGTGTCTGATTTTCGATAATTAGAAAAATAGATATGAGATCAGAATTCTGCAAAAATAATGTTAGTTATTTGTATTATATTCCATAAATGTTCAGGAACGTCAAATTTGCCTTAATTTTCGTTTGTTGCAGTAACAATGCATGAAATTTTATTATAAAAAATAAAACTATAAGCCCTTTATATGCATAAATGTTATTGCAAGTTTAATGGGTATTTTTTTGTTTGTTTTTTTTGTTGTTGTTTTTTTTTCCAATAAAAAAGAAGCAACAACAACAACAATAAATAGAAAAGAAGATAAACACAGGGAAAAACGATCCAAAAGAAAAATATCATTGAAAATACTTATGAATATAAATAGTACTATATTTATTATAACAAAGCAACCTCGTTTACCATGGCCGAACATTTTTGAAATACTTTTGTTTTTTGATGAAAAAATAGTTTCATTTTCAGTTATGTACGGTGGCATAAAAGTGACATTTGCAATTCTTGATTTTGCTTTGTTTTGTCTAAAATTTTGTTTTTTTTTGTTTCGCATACATATTTTGTTTAAGTGTTGAAATCATATTTGTTTTTTGCATACATATTTTTTTTTTTTGGTTTTGCATACACATTTTATTTAAGTTTTGAAAACTTTTTTTTTTAGTTTCGCCCCAGGGGAGTGCGGGTTAAAACAAAAATCATGATCATGTTTTGACGTTTGTGCTGTTCGGGCATAAGGCAGGAATGTTATTATCCCCCGCAGGTCGAATATTTTACCAGAGGTCGGCTTATGTATTCACATTGTCTCGTTGTTTGTATTTGAACTTATAATAGTTATCAATAAGGTAGGCCACGGTATATTATATTATAATAAATTTTTAAAAACGCATTTTTTTTTTAATGAAATGCCAAAAAGATGATGTAGAAACTTCTCACACATTGTGTAACTAATCAGCCACAATGTGTAACTTTTATTATTTCCGCGTTATGTGGTAAGACTATTAGTGCTTCGGTGTAATTTAGTTGACTACTAGCGAAATGATTAATGTGGAATCGGACTGTCAGTAAAAAATGGACATTATTTTACAAACCTAGAAGATTGTACGATAGGCCCTTATAAGATTTACTACTTCTTTGAGTAAAGAAATCTTAGAACATTGAATTGGCACTTTGGAAACATACATGCATAGCGTTGATGGGTTCCAAAAATGTCATTTTGTCCCGCATAAACTTGGGGAATTATTTTTTTTTTTCAAAAGAATTAAAAACAGAAATGAAAAAGAAAATCTGGGTGGTGCCCAAATATATAACCATAACAATATAACTTTGGTTGAATGAGTTTTTGTATTTTCTTCTGAACCTATAATTAAGCTTTTTTTATTCAGCATTGAAACAATATATTTGCATGAAAGCAATCAATCACATTATTGCATATAATTGATAATGATTTACCGCAGTTAAATAACATTTTTATCATTTGATGTTTTTATCACATTTCAATCACCTTATATTACATTAATGATTTATATATATATATATTTATTTATTTATTCATATGTTTATTTAATTATTTATTATTTACTTATTTTTTCATCCCTTTATTTATTTGTTTGTTTATTTATCAGTTATTAAAAAAGAAAAAGAAAAGTAAACTCTTCCTATCATTAAATGCTATACGAGTAAAGTACCCTTTTCATTTTGTTAATGTTAGAAAGCAAAGATGCTTATCTATCACCTATTTGCCACTTCAAACAACTTTTCTATGCCCACACTGAAGTAATGGGTAATTTGGGAACACATCCCGGTATATGTAACAGTTATATTATATTGATAAAGCAAAATTTTTACACTGATATTTTCATTTACACTTCAAGGCATATAAGTTTAATGAGAAAAATAGTAAAAATAGTATAATCTTATACTAAAAATAACTGACATTAATTTATTTTTCTCATTTCAATATCACCCTGGCAAATAAACATGGCATATTTTTGAAAAGAAAATGAGAAAAATCATTTGAAGTCACTTATTAATATATATATTTATATATGAACATTGAAGTTCATTATTATTATAATTATTATTTCTATTGTTGTTGTTATCATTATTATTATTCATTTTTCACTATAAATATTATATTTTTGCACTTGTTTTTTTAAAGTTGATAATTAATGTAAATAAATGTAATGATTACATTGTAGGTAATGGATACGTATTTTTTATAGGTTGTTTGTTAAAAAATGGATTAGTTGGCAATAATACGTTACCACTAGCTTATTAATTATCATATTAATATCAGTTGTAGATAACTTTTACATATTTTTATTTTTCTTGTTTTACTACATTTGTTTTCATTTTAACAACATGATGTATGATGGAAAATGTTAAATAAAGAAACTTATTGTCATAAAAAAACAAGAACAAATGTTTGCGTTATTGAATGACCCTCCATTTTTTCATTGATTATATCATTTTCATATAAACGGGGGGTAAAACCATATATCACGAACACATTTTCATCTACACAAATAACAATTATCAGCAAAGATCATACTAACGCATGAGAATTATGCAGAAAAATATCATATTTATTCATTTCGTAAAATAGTATTACACCATTTGCGATTTCGGAGAATGAACTGCAAAGATGACAGTAATATTAAAATATGATAAACAAGATCAACAAGGAAAGGCGGCGTCCAATAAACGCAACCCCCATACGACCCGCTAACAAGAACCATTTTAAAGTATAAACAATACACTTCTATGCATATTTATCAAATAACTCCAAACAACAGTTTGCAAAATAATCCTTAGAAAATAAACCCTTATAAAAAGATAATCGAAAAGTATCCGCAGAACGGCCAGGTACTAGGTTTAAAAGATAGGGGAATTATTCCTCTATCTTTCTAGTCTCACTATGTAACTCTCTCTGCATGTAAATTTGTTGCTGAAAAAGTGGCTTAAGGTCGACCCCCGGAAAAAGGACATCTGGAATTTTCTTTTTTATTCTGGAACGCATTATAAATAAATAAATATTATTGAATTAAGCAATTATATTGCCAATGCTATGATATATAGGTTATTAGTCTTATCCTATAAGATGTACTTTTAACACTGTATATGCAAGTTTTGACTCAATTAGACTGTTTGATAACTTTGCCTTTATCTATAATTACCCCGTATACATAAAACTAAATATACTAAGAGACAAAAAAAGGTGACTTACCGTTACAAACAACAGAGATGTCACTAGCATGACTACATTTATTGAGAAACAAATATTTACAGTCACTCAGGGTAAGATCGTCGCTTTCACAGAAAAGTTGATCAATAAATACAGGACCACTGCCTTCTCCATAAATACCTCCGGTAAAATACTGAGCTGCCCTTTAGATTTAAAAAGTGAATCATAAAACTAAATCGTTTGATTGCTATCAATTCATTTAATTAAAATTTACTAAAATTAATTTTTTTTTGTGTTGCAAATTGTGAAAGTCTCTTGAAGTGGTTACGTAAGCATACTGACAATTTTGTTAGTTATGTAATAACAATATTGTCAGTCATCTTCAATAACATAAGCTTCAAATTATTTTCATATTTAATATGACAAGGTCTTTTTCACTTGGCGGTCCACCTTGCCTGTATTTGCCTCTGAGTATTTCTACGCATAAAAACAATGCAAAAGATCTTTCATTTGTTTCAAATTCACCACAGTACTAAGGCACAAAATAACACATAAAATCTTTCATAGCCATAACTTTTACCTCAGACCAAGTAACCTACAGAATAAATCTGCAGCGTGAATGTCAAAGTTTTCATCACAAATAGTACCCCACGTATCGTTTACTTTGATTTCAGCACGCCCGTCGCTTAGACCTGTACCATTCACAAGCCTAGCATCACTAATATTTAATGTCGGTCCTAAAATAACACGAACATTTTTTCAAGTTGGAATGTTTCAAAGAACTAACTTAAAGATAATATCTAAGTAAATTGATGTCTTAACATGCAGCTGCCTACAATTGAAAAATAGTTTCATTAAAAATTCCGGTTAATATCAAATTTAGTTAAAATGAATAACAATAAATCGAACATGAAAAGAAACATGTGTTATCATTCATTCTTAGACACCAAATATTCCTGAAACAACATGTATTATAATTGTTTCCTAAGACAGCATATATTGTCATCTGTTCCTTTTAGAACATGTATTGCCATCGATTTCTTCCTAAGACAGCATGGATTGTCATTTCATGTAAGACAACAAGTATTTTATTTATTCATTTCATATTAATAGAACGAGTAATATACAATGTATACAATTACCATAACAGACAACTGACACATCTTTGTTATGTCCACAGTTATAATAGTCATTTATAGAATATCGACATTGGTTAAAATGGGTGTATGATGAGTAACAATCTAATCTGTCTAAATACACTGGTCCACTCCCCTGACCATAGAATGAATAACCATAGTAAGCTTTATACCTACAAGACAAATACTATAAAGATAACCCATATGTTAATAGAAATTAAACAGAGAATGAATATAATTTTGTAATTAATTTAAGTATTGATTCTTAAAATCCTTCTAGACTAGAATATTTAACAAGACTAGTGTATTTGTTTAATTAAGTAAACTCGATAAAGGAAAAAACCTCAAAATTGTATTTACAGTGATTGAGATATATTATGACGTGTCAAACGTTGCATATTTGTTAAATTTCATTTGTAATCTACACTTTTAGTTTTTACAAATTATGAAATGTAAGTAGTGAAATAAACTTTGCATCATGTAATCTGCCAGTACAAGTACATTACTGTACATTTTTTGAACCAATGCTGTCAATTAAGCCTCATTAAATATACCGAGTCAAACAATTCTAATCGAATCCATATTGCAATCCGTCTAACTTTTTTGTCTTTCTGCGGGTTCAAGTGGTGCCCCATCTTGCCTCATTTTTATTTTCCATAAAAACACGTATCATATATATGATGGACTCAAAATAATCTTTCAAAAATAAAACACATTTTATACATATTTATTTATATGTAAATATTTTTCCCCTAGAATGAAAAAATAGTGGTGTAAAATTTAAAGGTCAAATCATTATATAAATCTTAGAGTACGATACTGATTCTTTTGGTTTTTGAAACACCAAATCCCAATTTTAATTCATGCATATTCTATAAAATTGATGTGCAATTGATTCATCATATAAAACAAAGAAAAAAAGAACGGTTATTGTATAAGATATGATTGCGTATGTATTTATCTATATCATCATATAAATGCTCTTCGTCGGGCTTAATAAAAGTTACGCATGTTGATAACTAATAAAATATAATCGATGTACAGTTGTACTTACGTAGGAAGTCCAAGCATGTGGCATATGAATGATGCTTCAGAACCATAAAAATTGGTGCCGCACACAGTTCCCCATGTGTCGTTGACTTTTAACTCTACTCTACCGTGGTATGGCCCATTTGTGCCGGCTAGTCTGATATCCGTAATGTCCAAGTGATATCCTTTAAAATTTAAAACGTAAAATATTATCAAATAAAACCATCTCTGATTATAACTTTAAATTTAATGGATATGAAATATTTTGACGAGTGTAATTTTCTAACAAAACACGTAAATTACACCTTTTCATTGGTTTTATTCGTATTCTTATCGATTGGTCATCTTTGCTTAACCATGAATGAAAGGAACTCTAGTTTAAAAATGTCACAATGAAACGTTTTTGAATTGAATAAATGGTATTATTACAAAATAATTATATTATAGGCGAAGTTATTTCACAGATATATATACTTGATAATCAACCTCATCTCTTATTTAACATGTTTAAGCATCTGTGAAATAGATAGTTGCTTGAATCAGTATATACAGATATATCAAAATTTGTTAAGGATTACATTTTATAATTTATATGTTTTGCGTTGAAATGAGAGTACATGAACAAATGTTTCTAGTACGGGAAATGTATGCTTTTGATTTTATTGTTATAATTGACGATAGAAGTTTTTATTAATGCATGAACGTGGTAAAATGACTCGAGGGATTAAAGCAACATTTAAAGACGACATCTATAAAGTTATTGATGTCGATAAAAATCCAACAGTTAAGATTTTTAAGTATTTTCATAGCATGTATGATGGCATATCCCAAGCATATTATATTCTATGGGATTTAGGTCCGTAGATTTTCCTGTCCGATCCATTAGACCAATTGTTGGTGTTTAAGATACTGGTCAGTGTCATCACCTAAATCACCTGCATATGGCCGTACATAAACATCAAATTTCATCGACGTATAAACTCAGCCGTCACTGTGACTTACGAAATTACGAGTTGATACATCTTCCCCTGAGCGCTTGTCCCCGCCCATACAATGACTGAAACTCCACCAGATCGATCATGTTTGATAACACAAACGTGTGCAAAGGGCTCATTAGGCCAGACTTCAAACCTTAGCTAAACATTTCGTGAAGTCCACAGAGAACTTTGAGTCATCTTTGAAAAGAACTCGTGCCTAGTAATTTTGTGTCAAAGGTAAATGGTTTCTTTCTAATTCCAAGCGTTTTTCAACATTCCGCTTTTTCAATGAGATGAGTATTGCAGGAAGGTTGCCTATCTCAAATCCGATTTGAGCAAATATTTCTAATTACCGAATACACACCTGCAAGCCACCACATAACGCTGCTGAGTTACAGAATCGGCACCGAACTTGACAAGAAATCGGTTTGAGCTTAAGTAAATAAGCGTTTTGGACCTCCGGCATGCAAATGCAATACAATTTACAACCTGTCACTTTTAAGCATTCCACTAACCCCTTATCAGCTCAGCATCGCTTTGATAACTTCAACGTCAAAAAATGCTTTGCAGTTTCATGAGGCCCATATGTGGGTTTATTTTTTATCTTGCATTGTGATTAAATGAATACAACTACTAAGTGACAAAAAATATGCACAGCAAACTGTAAGAAGTATATTTAACCTGGCACAAAAGCTCTGTATTAATGGCATATTAGGTCACACAAATGTATTGTCTTTATTTCTTAAAAAAAATTCTGTTTTGGTGTCCTGTTACAATTTTTAGAGATTACAAATTGGCAATAAAGGTTAGCTACATTTTGTTTCTTTTGCATTAGTTCAGTAGTATGATTATAGTCATTTAGTATTTTGAATGAATTCAAACTCTCTCATTGTGTACATTTTACTTCTTTTATGATAAATAGTTTCACATTCAGTGCTCCTTTCTTCGGGCAATGAGCATCTAAAAAGCACTAGATTTATTAATAAAACATTTTAAAATACATGTTTGCCAATTTAAAATCAAACATGTATTCCTGAGACTGTATGTGCCTTTAAACATTCAAACAGTACCTGTGCACTTGACTGTCACATCATCATAATGTGTACAATTATTTGAAATCTCGTAACTGCATTCGTTTATATGTGACTCTGTGCCATAACATGTCATGTTACTGATGTAAATTGGACCACTTGCCACTGTACTGAAAATGCTTGCTTTGGTGGAAAAACTTTTATATCTGTAAAGAAAGTTATAGAAATATACAGAACTATATAAACGTTGCATTTCTTCACACGTCATGTGTTATGAAATGATTGATTTGGTAATGAAATCACACATGTTGTAAAATCATATATTAAATCATACATTTTATCATCTCCTTAATCGGTATTCCATATCTTTACTTACGAATATACAGCATATAATGACATACAAACTGACTTTTATAACTATGTACTTACTGTAAACCAAGCATGTTACATAAAACTTGCGCATCAGCAGAATCAAAACCTTTACCACAAATCGTTCCCCATGTCCCGTTTACTTTCAGTTCAACACGTCCTTCAGTAGGTAAATCTCCGTTTTGCAGTAAAATGTCTTCTATTGGTAATGGGTGTTCTATAAACAATTATCGTACAGTACTTACTTTCCGTTAATAGAGACCTCATTTTTGAACAAAAAAGTTTCATTCTTATGTCAAACAACAGAAACAAGAAGTATCTTTAAAAAAGATACTCGGCCGAACTAAAACTGGTTTATTTGCATATCGTATCTTAGGAAACATGGAAAAAGATTCATAAGGATTTCTTTTTCTTTTCAACATTATTCATGTATCTCTCATATCCTTCATGAATAAAAGTGTTTGATTAGGATTTTATAATTACTGTAGGTACATATTTGCTAAATAATGTCAACTTTAATATCAAATATGATACCAGATATAAGTTTGATGAAATAAAAACTACAAGGTAAAAGTATTTTATATTTTGCAAAATTAACCAATGTACTTTTAAGAAAACTTAGGCAAACTTTTAAAACAACCCCTAATTATGGTAAATTTTAGGGATATTTTGAATAAGGCTTTTTACATAGGGAAATGGTTAAATGAGTGTTTAAAGTGTTTTTCTGAAAACAGCCCTTCAAGTAGCAAAGTTTAAGTTCAGAAAAATGTCCACAACTCATACACCAAGTTTTGCATACAGGTGACATTTAAGGCATTTAATTGTCCTTTGTTGTCCATTTTACAGATCATCAGAGTGCCCATTAGGAGTGGCCTTCCTTATATAGAAACAGAATTTAAAGTCTGAAGTAAGAAGTAGATAAGAACTACAACCCCCACAAAAAACAACAACATAACCAAAAACAATTATCTCATTTCGTACTCATTGTTTTCGTCTTCTTTCAATCTAACCATTAATAAATATATAATTCTTTTATTTCTATCATTGTGAATGTTGCTCTAGCTTAAAGAAAAACATTTAAGTAACTTTAGTTTATTCAAATCGAAATTTTAATAAAACGTTTATAAATGACAACGTTTTGTTGATACGAAATACCCAAATTAACAGATTTGCAGCACCTTGAAAAATAACGAAAGAAACCTTAAATCCGAAAAAAAGAACCAAATCAAGCTTTGTTATCTAAAATACTTTGACAAACATTTATTATAAACAAACCATTCAATCGTTAGCGGTTATATAGATACTTCTTTAATATGAAAAATACATGAAAACTATAAACTTTGTATCCATTTCACATAAATAACTGATGATACCGGGTAAGTTCGTTTTCTTGTGTGCAATTCGCTTTTTTCACGAGCATGACTAAACGGGAACGTGGTGGTACTTGCAAATGGTGCTGACAAAATTTTTAACTCGTGAAAGCAGCGCAAACTTATTTGTATGAGAATGCATGGCAATATAGAACTTATTATTGTAGAAAAAGGTATAGTTAAACAGAACTTAAGTATCTGAAATTTAACTTGATAGTAAATGAACTTATGAATATAGATAGTTCATTTACAGACTCCTTTAGATCAATTAAAAATTAGACGCGTATATCATGTCAGGAAAATCCTTTATATTATCTTAATAATTTTACAATGGCCAATCAGATTCCGATATTTCATACTGCTATTTTAAAATGACCAATACTTTTTTACATATATTCAGTTTTTTTCCCTGTAAATTTTACAAGAAGCAAAACTGAAAACAGACCGGCCTTATAGCCGGGAAAAAATAACTATCACGACTATATCATAGCACTAATAAAATTTCTGGAAAACATAAAAATGAATCCTTAATGTACATGGTCCACAAACATGTAATATTGCGTACCAAGATGTGGAGTGCATTTCTGTTCCTGAAACCAGCTATTATCTTCAAGACATGTCATCGTGACTTGTTTAGGCAGGGAACCCATTTGACATGCTATAGTTAATTCATTTCCATTGAATGAAATAGGTTCTCCATTATAAATTGAAGGTACGCCGCATGCTGTAAATGATGTAAAATACTTTATCAAAACAAGTTAAATGCAGACCATATAAATAGTAAAATGAACATTTGTATACTTAAGCTTCGTTACATGAAACACAAAATAATTTTATAAATTTAGTCTAGTCAGCTCTAATGTTGTTTTAATGATAACCGACTATTAAGGCAGGATAAACAGTTAAACCCTTCCACTGATATAACATTCATATTAAGTTCTTTAACAAAACATTTTAGTTATCTCTTAATTTCTATGCCATTATGCCCACTTTAAATGATTAGATCAGGCATCAAATAGCTACTTTTTATATTTTTTATTTTAAAATGTTTCAAAGTATTTCGATAACGCATGTTAACTCAATTCAGCCATATGCAATAACTTACTAGTACAAGCTATAGACAAATCGTGTGCATGAGAAGCGGATCCATATGGTGAATTACCATAACAACTGCGTATGTGACTCCGTTCACCATAACAGTTTATTGAAGATGATAATATTGGTCCTGTTCCTTGTCCATATACTGCTGACGTGTAATACATTGCTAAACTATAATGAACAACAACAACAACAACAAACAACAACAACAAGTTGTCAAATACACACCGTTCAATGAAATAATAAATGCATTAAATTCATGTGGATCTGATATACTCAATTTGGAACATGTTTTGGCAATTTATAACAACAGCATCCAAAGAAGAATAAAATAACCAACTGAAAAATCATCTCATCACCTCCTATGGAATAAATATAAAATGTTCGAAAAATGGAGAATGATGATCTACCTTATTTATCTAAATTGCATGTAAATTTGCATTTTGAAGATTTTAAAATGGTAACTTAAACGGAATGAATAACTTATTCTTTCTTACTATCAGCTTGATTCTCGATTATATATTTTTTAACATAAATTTATCAAATATTCATACAAAAATGGGCAATTTGATTGATATTTTCAGGTTTAAAATGTTCGCTTTTCATGACTTTGACTTGCAAATTCCCCTTCGACACCCTAGCTATAAGAAACAGAACATTCGTAGTTGTTTGTTTTGTAGATTTACCTCGCATTGTGTGTGTTACATATTGTGCGGGCATCATACATATTAACATATGTTGCATCAATTGTTCCCCATTGACCATAAACATACATCTCTATACGACCATCATAAGGTCCTGTGCCATTAACAAGTCTGGTATTTGTTACCAGTTCCATTGGCCATTCTAAAAATAAATTTCGTGGTTAGGGCATACACGTTTATCACATCACGGGAATAATATTGTACTAATATCAATTACCATGTAATGCTATATTGTATTATCAACGATGGGATCTTCATATTTCTTATATATTTTGATTTAACTACTGGTTGTAGAGCTGACTTGAAAATATTTCACACTGGAAACACATCACATTTTTTGTATTGCGGTATCGTGTTATACAACTGCATATTTTTCTTCAAAAATATTGAAAAAAAAGAACATATCGATTTACTAGCAGCACTATGTTTGACAGCAACAAATGGTCCCTAACATAAATTATAAGATGATTTTGTGATTGTATCCCCCGCTTACTGTAATTGACATTACAAAGTTTATTCATTCGATCTTAGAACTAAAGAACGACTTTAACACGATGAGGACACAGCAGGGCAGAATAATTTAAATGTATTGCATGTATATAATAGTACAAAGATTTTGTATTTAACTCGTATAAAATGGATGTTGATTTATATGGGAAGCATATCTTGTAACCAATCCTCAAATTATTTATGATACTATATGAACATTGATTAAAAGATCAATTTTGCAAATTTGGCAGCTATTAAAGTGTGATGAAAATGTAAACCTGAACTATTATATTACGTACAAGAATACAAGTTTAAAATAAGTACTTGTTACATTGACAAGTTCACGAAGTGCTTTGCAAGCTCATTTTATTATTTTGTCACATTTCGATATTCCTATAGAACATCGCATTTGTACGAGTTGTGAAATTTTTTATTATTAATCACTGTGTCCGTTATATACCATTGAATAACTATCAATATCAAATTAAAGTTTTATTATTTGATCGTGATAGATACATGATATAGATTTATGTATAATAATTCAATGAAAGAAAGCGGTTATTTCTCAAATGTTTTGAAAAAAGTATGTTCCGGTCGTTATAAAAATAAAATTGATCTTTACTGTGTAGACTTCATATATTTTATGCTATGTATTTTGAATGGGCCTGAGGCCTTTTGGTTCAATAAAGCTAGTGGCACAAAAAGAAATCAGATAAAGTGTATAGTTATTATAAGTTAATCAAGTTAATCGAATAGGCATCACTTACTGTTACAAGCAACTGCAACATCATTGTCGTGATCATTACATGACACATCTCGGCTATATTTGCAATCATCTATATTAGTCTCGTAGCCATCACAATCAAGATTGTCTATATGTATTGATCCTGTGCCCGATCCGTACATGTCTGAAGACGTGTAATAAGTTCTGTATGACCTGTATAAATAATCTTATGTCACTTATCTATTAGCATAGTTTCATACAAATGTAATAAATAATCACTGTAATCTAGATAATTAAATCTAAAACTTTCATAATAAAATACACACGAATTGCATTTACTTTTAAGTAAGTAAAATAAATGGAGAAGAATAGTTTTTATTGTATATACTCGTACATGTGAATTAAAGAACCATACCTGGTGCCAAAAAGGATATTGCATATTGCATGAGCTTCACGCCAAGAAAATGATGTGCTGCAAATAGTTCCCCAAGATCCACTTCTAAAAATCTCGACTCTGCCATCATATAATCCGATTCCGTTTACCAATCTTATTTTCGTATTTGGTGATGCTGTAAGGTAATTTCCGTAATAAATGGTAGAGCATTATAATTCTATATTTATGATCAAAGGTGTTACGAATGCAAAAAGGTTTCTGATCTTTTAATTCATTTTTTTATGCGTTTAAAATTTTCCAAAATTATACTAACGTATGAATAACTATAATTATAACACCTTTCTCTAAAAACATTATGTACGCGAATACAATTTGGTTACATTAAAATTTAAAAAAGATATATACACGTTTTCTTTGCATTTGCAATAACATAAGGCAATTGCTTATTTCAGTAACGGTTTGAAAATTATATGAAATTCACGCCCCGTATATCGGGTAAAATGAGTAAGAAATGCTTTGCACTAGCGAGATATATTCTTATTGTGTTACTTTAGGCTTAGGCTGATTAACGTATATCACACATCAACTTGTGCTCTCACCTAATGTGCAATGCATTGTCGGAACAGACCAGCTTCTATCTTCACAAATACTTGTTGTAACATTTGAGATATATCCATCTATACATGATATTTTGACATTTCTTCCATCAGCTGATATCGACTGCATTTCTCCATTACGTATTTCCAATCTACCACATTCTGAAACAAAGTATGAAAACGGTTCCTTCTACATTACCTTGGATTGACTATAACAACTGCTAAATCACTGAGATGTTATTCTTAGTAAATCAATATGTCAGTACCTTGATATTAAATTCAGTCAGTATGTGGGTTTGAACCCACAAGGCCATTCATCCATAGGTTACTAGTTAACCACTCGGTCGTGCCGCCATTCTAATCCTGTCTTTTCCATTAGCCGGTGTAATATTCATATATAACTTTTTCTACGTTCGATTTATTTTGTTACGAAAGCATAAACATTGTCGACATCAGTGGTGTTATACATTCATTGTATGCATATTATAACTTATTCAAATAATCAACCAAATTTAATGAACAGTAATGTTCTGAAAAATAAGTTATTGAGTGTGTCATATAAAGCACTATTCGTACACATGAATTAAATTCGATAGATTTGTTGTATTGATCAAGATGTATGAACGGTTTTCGCATAAATAATTGAAATAGTTTGTTTATACAGAATGTAATAATTATAGTTCGATTGTGAAGGAAGGTATAAGCTTATAGACGCACTTTCGAATGCGTTCCTGGAACCAACCAGTACGTACTGAGCAACAAGTGTAAAGTTACCTGCTCAAAGAAACAAAAATTTGTCCCTGCGATGATTAGATTCCTAGTCCGACGCGATAACCACTCAGTCATGCCGCCACATTGAAATACATGTAGTTGAAAAGTGAAAAATGTAAATATTGAAATGTATGCAATGTACCTTCAAACATGTTAGGCGACAATAAGATTGAATCAAGTATTCAAGAGTTCTTTTAAATATAAAATGAACTAACCGGTGCAAACAATGCTGATATCCCTATCATGTGTACATTCGACATTAGGAACCATTTCACAATCTTTTAGGTGTGATTCTATTCCGTTACACTTAAACTCTTGAGCAAATATCGGTCCAAGTCCAGGTCCGTAAAATGCACTCGATTCAAAAGTTGTTGCTCTGGAAAACATTATGCACAAATATATTATGTTTTCGATTTTATTGGATTTCACATAAAATAAAGATAAGATAAAATTCTATTGGAGTTATATGGACTGTGCACTATTATGATGTCATTATACAGTGCTGAATACAATACTTAATTCTATACGAATAAATAGCTGTCAAAACTGTACTGGACTTGGCGTTTGCCGAGTCCGATATATGTTTGCTTTTTCGAAGCTGCGTAAGAGTGTACTAGAATCAGTTTTGTTCTCATTCATGTTTAATGACCTTTTTCTTGACATTTTCACAGGACTTTGTAACTCCAATTATAATAAGAATTTGATATGAATTTTTTGGAGTCTCCAAATAAAAAGGAGGCTAAATGGAGTATAATATGAATTCGATACACATATTTTGGACTTAAAAAATGAGAACAAGGTCATATGGGAGGTGATATGGATTTGATATGAACCTTTCGAACTCTGTAAATGGAATCGAGGCTATATGGGGGTGATATGGATTTTTGAACTCTGGAAATGGAAACAATTTTAAATTGAGATTAAGATTGGATCCAATAATGATTTCTTATGTTTGACATGGTGCTTACGCTTATAAAATACTGCTTCATTTTATAAAGTGTAAAATAAGAAAAACATATCATTGCAATATTACATGGAAAACAACAGACTGCATGTGATAACGTCATGTACTACCAACAGTAGATAAATATCAAGATTACATCTCAAATTCAAAACCAAGGTAACATAAAATCAGTAACTTATTACAATCTTGCTAATATATGTAGAAAGATATGTTATATTACACACTTGTATATAAACCAATTGATTACAAATAAAAAAGCTTCAAAAGATAGATAGTGTGACAAAACCGCAGCATAAAATAACATAAAAATAACGACATAATTCGGAAGGACCTCTCGAAAACAATAAAATACAGACACGTCTACAAACTTGGAAAGTACTACATTATGCCTTTAAATATTCCTTGGCTTCTGTTGTTGTACTATAGTAAGAATAACTTGGGTTAAACGTACGTTAGATTCATCATTCGACACATGACATTTGCGTCATCAATATCAAACGAGTCATCACAAACGGTTCCCCATACACCGTTGATGTTGATTTCTACTCTCCCACTATATGGCTGTGTACCATTGACTAGCCGTATACCATTAACATTTAATTTTTCACCACCTGTATTATACAATGTGGATACAATACAATTCCAAAGAAATATTTTAAACTTAACAAAATATTATTTTACCTATTGTTCTTTCACTGAAAACAATTTCTCATTATATCTAAAAGCATTCGAACGACTTATATATAAACATAAATAGTTATGTAACACAAAAAAGAATAACACTTAAAGAAAGCAGATGTCCCAAAAAAAAAAAAACGTTGTATTTTAAAGTGTATGATTGCTTTGTTCTTTGCTTTTCAATTATCTAAAAAAAGCACTTACAACTGATTTTAAATACAGTTGACTCTCGGTAACTCGAAATCAAAGGGAATGGGCATTTAACTTCGAGAGAAACGGAATTCGAGTAACGTGGAACTACCACCATTACATGTATATACATGTGCCTGATTGAATGTGCAAAGGAGTAGGTTTGTTATTGTTGTTAGCGGCAATGCTGCTATATTTAACCATTGAAATGACGGTAAATCACTTACAACTGCAAATTATAAATGAACAAAAATATATCATTCAAAATTTAATACATGTATATTAATAGTGAAACAGAAACACAAAATTACATTTGATTTAATTCATCATTTGACGAAAACGAAATTAGCATCTATCGTGAACCGGAAGTACAAATTTGACAGATAATTAATTAAACAAATGTCCTTTACGTTGATACCTAGGCTGTTATTTGACTAACACCCGTCAGACTGGCATGAGTCAACTTTCTTTAAGAAATGTAATTAAATTTTAATTTAGTTATCTAACTGTTAAAACCAATTAAGTCCTGAAACGGATTTAAGCCACTTTTACGACGTGTTAATAATACATGATGACCGGCAATTAAAAATTACTATGAAACGTGTAAAACATGAGTGACAACATCTCACCTTGATGTTGCCGACCTTTGATCAGACGGTTGTTTTCACACTTCGACTTATTGAGATGTAAATATGTTGGACTTTAATTGAAAGACCAAATTTTTCTTTTCGACTAAACAGGAGTCTCGGTAAGTCAAAATTTGACCTAAGCGGAGTTAAAATACAAAGATAAAGAAGGAGAGTTGACGGGACTTTAGAATTTATTCGACTAAGGCGGAATTTTGAGTAAAGCGATTTTGACTTATTGAGAGTCAACTGTAATTCAATGAAACCATTTTAATTTTTATGATTTACCTACAATGCTGCTAGTTAAACCATGTAACAGTACAACCAAAAACTGCAATTTTATCGTTGAGGAGTTGGTCTTTTTCATCTTTATATTTTCAGGTCTGAAATTACAGTTGTGAATTTTTAACTCATTACTTAGCTTATCATTTACTACATAGACTGTGATCAAATTCAATTTAAATTCCCATGAACATTTTCAGTGATTTAATAGACAATTCAATTGAACAATACACAATTAAGCGATACAGTATGAAACTAGTAAAAGCTTTGGTCTTTAACCAATTTTACTTTTGAGAAAGTACCCAAATTTTCTCGTTATACAGAATGCAAATTCTTTTCCTGATGGTATATGCAACTATACAGAACCATAATGAGCCAAAGTCATTGATTCGAAACCCTTTACTTTCATGATTATATTTCAGTTTTTTTAACGAAGAATAACTTGTAGTTATGAAAGTAATAGCCACCAAAATATATAATGGTTTACTAATATATAACACTTAAGGTTTTTAATAATGTATTTTATTACAGGTTGAATTTAAAAATATGATAAGATGCATAGTTCTATAGAATAACGATATCTTACTAGTATCCAAAAAAATCCAAAATTTGTTGTGTTATATCATGATACTTTTTTTATGTATGTAGTAATGTCAGAATTCTTTTATTGAAAATTGTTTGATATCATAATTGCTTAATTGGTTGTCTGGTTTCCAATGCTTTTCAAGGGGTTATCCGCAATTTCAGGCACTCAGAATATGACCCCTCTTTTATCGCAAGACACAACGCCACGAAATTCATAAAAAATCTTGTTTTGACATTTTACGCGCGCTCTTGTACGACGATGTTATATATCACGTCAGTAATATTATATGAATAACACATGACTCTCGGGGTGATAGTTGACTGTGTCAATTCTAGAACTGGTGTATTACCCCAAAGACGTACGCAGCAGAGGGATAAAAAGCCAGTTTATATGCTGTTAATATCACCCTTTAAAAAGTGATTAATATATTGTTATGCTATAATATACATATGCAGTCAAAAGAAAAACTTTCAAACGCTAAAGAATAAGTTTGCAAATTCGAATTTTCGCAAACACAACTACCCTTTTTAATATAGGTTCAATACAAAAAATTAAACCAAACAATAATTTGGATAGAAAAAGTCGATTATTGGCCGTTTATATAAAGATAGCACAATAATAAAACGCTGGACAAGCGTTCAAAGTGCGGCGTCCATGGGATTTTTCCATTTTCCCATTGGGTTTTAAGTGTCCCATGCTCCATTGCTCCCATGCTACAGTGCAGGTAAACCCCCTTTTCATAAAATGAGAGAAATATCCGTGGAAGAAAACATTATTTTTTTCTAAATAATTTAACATGTGTTGATTATTATATACTTATAATGAACTTAAAAATATTAAAGGAACATATTTAAAGAAATTTGAATTCTCCCATTGACAGAACAAATTCATTAAGGAAATGAGAGAAATATCCCAAAATCAGAATACCCCATTTGTGGTGGACTTCTATCGTTTGTATATAAGACTGAAAGCAATTCCTTGTTTTATCCTTACCAAACCGATATCTTATGTCATTTTGTTTTATTGAAATAAACAACAACATTCTATAATTTAACTTTATTTAATAAAACTTTGAATTTTTAATCCAGTTTTCATATTGATTACTAATAAGATTTACTTCACAAATAAATGGTAGTATTACACTCCAAAAAGAATAAATTTGTATCCCCATTGTGTCGATTTCACCAATTAAAGACGTTTCAAAAAGTCCTCAATATAGCCACTTGAACCTTTATAAAGTAAATGTTAAAGAGCATGAGAAACTCGAGAATTTAGAAAATATCATGAAACATGAAAGAGACATGAATTCGTAATTATATCAGAACTAATAAGAAGTAAGAAAATATGACTGTGGAGTTTCAATGTAATACAATTAAATAAAAATTACATAAGAGATCATGTGGAGTATGAAATAAGACTTAGGAGCAAATTATCATTATTATACGTAAATAATAATAATGCCGGCTCGCCACGGCGAGCCGGTATTACGGTAGGATTTTACTGAGAAACAACCTAAAACTCCGAAGCTATCCAAAAATTTAATCGAAGCTTGGCTTCCAGCTTTCTACAAAATTTATCCATCAGGGCTCGGATCCAAAATTATTTAGCCAATCAAATTTAATCTTACATAGCGTCAAAAAACCTTCAATTTTCACGCCATTTTTAAAAATCAGCAAGTATTGTTTTGAGCGCAAAGATATAATGATGATTAAAATGTTTGTCTTTATGAATTCTTTAAAATAAATCATATTTACACTGACTTCTGATTTAGCGATTTCACCTGTTTTCTCTGTAGTAAGTTTTCGTTTGGTTAATTAACATAAGTGTACATCTGGTTCTGTGCATTTTTTATTTTTCCTTTTTTCCGGTCATTTTATCCTTTCCGGTATTTAGTGTATGTATTTACTGGCCGGGATCCGGGACGCCCGGGATCCGGGATCGTATAAGATATGGAGGAAAAACCTAATGAACTATATTTGTGTTGATTGTTGTCGTAATGAAAGGCCATTAAACGTTAATTTTTTTTATTGTATATAATGAACGTTAAATTAATTTAACTTAGAATATAGATATATTTAGAGCTATTTATTAACAAACTTAAAATGCGGAAATCACAATACTTATAATTATATGCCTAATTAATTGGAAAAATCAAAGACTATTTTCTTGAATTGGTCAAATCCCGGGATCCCTATATGTTTTAAAACGATCCCAGCTTTTCTGAAAACTATATACTTGAACTGCCCAATTCGTGAGATGTATTTACATTTTAATACGATCCCGGCTTTTCTGAAAACTATATTCTTGAACTGGTCAATTCCCGGGAACCTTATATGTTTTAATAGGATCCCGGCTTATCTGAAAAACATCTTCTTAGACTGGTCAATTTCCGGGATCCCTATATTTTTAATAGGATCCCGGCTTTTCTGGCTGAATTGATTGACAACTTGTGTTTACTTTAGGACTTGTGCCTCTCATTCCAATACTAAATAACATACATGTATTACAACTTAATTTTTTATAAAGAGACATCTTTATGAAATCTACCTATCTAACATTTTGTGGTCAAGGTCAACAGGCCATATAGTAAATGTGCATAGACATATTAGGTTCTTCATTCTATCTGTTTACATGCACCTTCATATATACTCATACTCATCTTGGTTAAACTGAGAGAACTTAATATGTCACTTTCAGTCAATGAGTTTAAGATTTTGAATTTACTGGCCCGAATTCCAGTTTTGAATTTATTCTACTAAATAATTAACAAAATTTTCTTAAATTTACACTGGCCTGAACTTATATACACTGGCCATCGGGCACCGGGCCAGTGTTGACTTCACTTTTATTTTGATGTTCACTGAAGTCTCTTCAGCTAACAGAACTGTCATTTTTACATTTAAACACACCCCTTGAAAAAAATTACGAAGCGAGTCGCTACTAGCTTTTTTAAAAGCTAACCTTGTATAGTATTAACGTTAGATTTACATAATGAGTCAATGCCTACTTAAAATCAAAAATATGAAATAATGTATGTTGAATTATATATGCAAACTATCCGTAAATACATTACATGATATAAATAACACAAATAGAAATAATAGAAATCATAACTTCCCGACACTATTACAGCTTAATGGGAGAATTACATAAGGATACTATGTAGATTTACATTTTATTTTTTCATCGCCCAACTTTGTCTTTAGCGTGGAAGAGATAGTATTAGAACATCTAAGGAAGGATGGTTAAATAAATAAAACGGTCGACCGAACAAATTTGTCAATTTTAATATTATCACTAGATGCAACATGATTTTTCATTTCATGAAATGTGCTTTTGTATACAAGTTTTGTTCTATTTACTGAACAAAACGTGTTATACAGGATCACTTATACAGAATTTTAAAGGTTTTTTTTTGTTCGGTTGCGCGATTATATTTACATATGATGACACATATTTTTTTCTATCTAATGAAATTTGCAGAGCATGTTTGTTCAATCAACCAAACAAAGTGTTTGTTATATGTATCTATTCAATGTGTTAAATTTAATTTTCAATTAATTTTAGTAAAACAGTGTCACTAGTTTTTTTTATCCAACATTTGTATAAAGTAACCCCAAAACCACATTTGTAGGCTACAAGAAGGTATTTACTGGACAATCCCTTTTGATTTTGGTTAAGATTTTGGTAGATTTTTTATTTATTTTACCATTCTCCCTTAAATGTCCTATTTATATCTCTTTTACGTTAAAGACAAATTGGGCAATGAACAAAATAAAATATAAAACTACATAGTATCCTAGTCACTCGTATAAAAAAAAGTTCAACAACGGTGGTGCTCGCATGATTCTCTCTGTGTATGCAGTTAAATTAAACAAGAACGTATCACAGTTACGCAATAAATAAATAAATAAATAAATAAATAAATAAATAAATAAATAAATAAATAAATAAATAAAAATAAATAAATAAATAAATAATCGGACATTTCTTTTTCATTTTAAAAAGGCCGGTGTCGCGTATTATTCACACGGGCGTTACACCATGGTTTATACATGTTTTTGTTTAAACTTGCATGTGCCTTTGTTTACAACCAAAGCGCTTTGAAAATTCGTATAAATCCTCAGCATAGAACAATTATAACGGTTCATGTATTTGAATATTCTGACAATATTTATAATCTTCACAATATTTGAGTGAAATTGAGCAAAATCGCCAAATTTTGCATCTTTCGTGGGGCATTTTGAAAAAAATCTGCAAGGCTCAAAAAGTATTTTATTTATGAAAATAAATGATTTTAAAATTTGTCAAGGGTGTTAAACTTTGTTTCTTGTATTTTGTTTTATTTCTAAATGAGCTAGAACTGATCTTAATCGGAAGGTTTCTGGGGAAACTAGGTCAAATTGCCCGAAATCTTTCCCGAAAGGGGTACTATAAATTAAAAACTTGCCATTTATAACCATACACATTCATTATTAAAAATAAAGGTAATAACTTGTCCCATATTCTA